TAGCCATCGCTGCAGCTCCATCCAGCTCCGACTCCATCTGCAGGCTCTGCTTACTTTTAGTCCAATTTATCGTTACTTTGTTTGGCACACAATTTTATGCTTAATATGTGTCGGCGGCACTCGCATATGGGACTTCACACAGGGAACAATATTTTGTGGTTATTTTTTAAACAAACAAGCACCCATTCATCTGGCTGAGAACTTTCCACATTTTTAATGAGGGATACCCTTTTCTGTAAACTGCAATCTAAACCCCGGGCTGGCCCAACAAGCTTGAAATTCAAATTCCCAAAAAAATCGTAACCAAAATCGCATACAGAGAAAATTTTAAGAGTGAGTTCATGTCCGCATCAATGCAGGCTGGAGGTCCTGGCGTGTTCCTGTTCCGTTCGTTTTTCGGGCTGGTCACGGCTCTCCCATGGAAGCACATGCAATATTTAAATTGCAGTCATGGTCGTAGCTACTCCGTATCCATAACCGTATCTTGTATCTGGTATCTGCCACCCATCCATACATCCATACGTCCATATATCCCTGCCAGTATAGCTCGTTCCGTTCGTTGACATGGCCCACGGCCCTGGCATTGATCGGAGGAGGCCAGGACACCAGAACACCCGACTGTGCAAAGTCACAATTGCATAAATTTGCCACCAACTTTGCATTTATCATAAGGTTGAAAGAAAAGTGGAGGAGGCTGTCATCCGCACAGGATACTCTCGAAACAAGAAACCTTTATTTTGGGGGATTGCCTTTAAGGCCTTCAAGGCTTGATTTTTGCTAAGCACTCTCTATTTGCATAAACATTTAAATTACATTTTTCGCAAGGGTCCTTGCGGCTTTTTAAAAGCAATTCAGAGAAAATGAAAAGCCAATAATATAATCAATAAGCAAATACAAACATGTCAAGAGTTGGAAACCCTTTCACTTCGAAAGCTTGCACCTCAACGGGCAGACTGGAAACACATTTAATTTACAAGGGTCTGGGGACGGACAGGACATCAGCAAACCCTTCAGTGGTTAAACAATGGAATCCTGCTACTGCAGTTGCATAAATTTCGATTCCATTTCTGACCCTCCGCCCCAGCCTCAGCCCCTTGCCAGTTGCATGTCACAAGCGCTAAAACAACATGCACTTAAAAAAGACAGAAATGGCTCCGCCACTGCCCCCTCCGCCCGACCACACTCTTTCAACTCTAATAGCTTATGTGTGCCAGTATGTGTCCCTGCCTGTCTGCCAGTGTCGTTTTTGTTGAGAAAATAAACAAAATGCTTGTTGATATTTTGTGGCAGCCAATGAAGCAAACAACTTTCTGTCCATCCGTTTGTCTTCTGTGTCCATAGCATCCGTTGGCCTGCAGCGAAATCGACAAAATCAACAAGACCCCGGTTCCGGAGTCGTAGTGGTGGTCCGGAAAGCGAGACAGAGTGCTTGCAGCCGGATCGGCCATCTCCTTCGCCCGATCTGGGAGTGAAGTGAATGCTGGCATTTGCAAACAATAACTGGAAATATGTGTGCCAATGGGTCGAGTTCGGAGCTCGGCAAAAGAATCCACAGCTCAATCCAACTTGAATCCGAGCTGTGCGTGTAGCTATCAGATTTCAGTTGCTTAGGAGGCCCTCATCCGGCGAATCCTTCGCGGGGGTATGCGCCATTAAAAAGTGTATCAAAGTAACCGAAAAGCAATCAAATCAAAGCAAGGTGTCCGATAACAAATCATTGGAAAATCTGATTTATTTAAAGTAAGATTTTAGAAACAGGCTGGGATTAAATTTAAATAAAATGAAATTGGCGGTAAAATAGCCAAGACTATATAGTTAATACACATTGGGGCAAAAATAGGAAGGTCTTCACATCCTCGGGGACTTCTAACCCACATCAAAGAAGCGTATGTAAACCTCGAATCAGATTGACATTTTCCCCGGCTCATCCCTCGCCCAGAGACCGCCATTGTTGGCGACAGATTTTATCCGCTTGTTAGTGGCTAACAGTGGCGTTCATAAATACCCCGTACACCCGGACACATAACCCATCGAATCCTTGTCACCTGCTGGGCTGCACCTTGAACCCAGCCTTCGACGGATATTTTTCTGGTTAGAGGATTTGTGCCACCGCCACTGCCATCGCCACCGCTTTGGCAACAAAGCAACGTTTACGCTAGAAACCGCAGCGCCAGGATGAAATGAAGGTATAGCATACACATATCCCGGGCAAACCATATAAATAAACAAAGCTCTGGTGGCTCCTGCGTCCTGCGACCAGCGTCCTTCGTCCCTACGCACTTTGTCGTGGAGCGAGAACGAGAAACGAGAGGCAACTGTCGAAACTGTCAGGATGTCAAATAAGCGACAGTGGGTGGCAGACAGCAGGAAGTGCGGACCAAGTGAAACAGAGCCAGGACCAGCAGGAGTAGCTGAGGCCGGAGTGGGAGGAGAAGCAGGAGCAGGAACAGGACCAGGACCACCCTAGGCATATTTATTGGAAATCTGAAACAACTCAAATGTCTACACTATTACAAAAAAGTGGGTTAGTTATTATTAAATTACTGAACTATGAAGACATCTGTATACCTTCTTCTCCTCTTATCTTCCCTTTATCTTTAACTTATGCTGTAAAATTTCTCTCAGTGCTTTATCCACCCAATTTGTGGGCAGCCACTCCTGACCATGTATCCATGTCCGGCATAAGGCACAAAGAATTTGTTACATGAAATTGTTAACGGGCTGTAGCCGGAGTCGGAGTCTGAACCGAGGCCGAAGCCAAGGCTGGAGAGCTGAAGCGGATGCCTCGACCCGACTGCGTTTGATGCCTTTTGCTGATATATGGCCAACCTTTGACATCCTTTAAACGAGCAACATGATGCTCTAGATTATGGCCAGGAGATTGCCTCGACCACCACCGACTCCCCTCATGACTGCCACTCCGGGCCCTGGATTTCCCCCGGATTGTCTCACTTGGGCGATACGTCAATGTGACAGTTTGATAATTTATTTTGTTCAAATTTTGTTTTTGCTCCGCTCCGCTTCTGGGAAGGCGCTTAAATAAGTTATCAACGAGAGCGGACCGGCCATGTAAATGGCAGCACGTAAATGAATGAAATTATTTTGCAACAAATTAAGGCAAATTTATGCGTCAAGACAGGACAGTGCGAGCTGGTAGTGGGCGGGGAAGCGGAGCTCTTATTGTTTTTTGGTGGGGGGCCGGATAGGAGGGGATATCTGGAAGCCTTGTAACAGGAAACACAATCCGCAAGCAAACAAACAAAAGCGAAAGCCGAACGGAACGAAGCGACACGAAACGAAACGAAACCAACAAACAAACAAACAATGAAGACAAGTGAAAAGCGAAGAGTTTTCCTTCTGCGAAATCTGAGCAAGGCTTTGTGCAACAAAGTGGGGAACTCGGCTGCCCCCGGTTGCCCCTCAAATGGGGGCTAACCGGGCTCGCTTTGCAGTCGTCCACATCCCAGATATATATTCTTTTATTCCCTGCCTCGCTCGCCGAATCAAATGTCAATAGAGAGTACATTTCATTCAGTCGGGCGGGTGATGCCTTTTTCCATCCCGACCTCCGCCCACTTTGCAGCTCCCCGCGTTGTAGCTGTCACAGTGTTTGTTTGCGGATTTGAAGCTTTTTCCTCTTTGGCAACGCGCTTTTTTTTACCACGCCGGCTGCCCTACTTGAAGGGGTAAGCTGGTTTTCCAAAAAGCCGTGCAACACCTTTGGGAAATTGTAAGACAGCCAGTCTGGATGGTGACGATTTCCTGTCGAATATTAGCCATGAAACTCGATTATCACATTGTTTGGAACTCTCATTGACACTCGAGAGCATCCTACTTTCGTATAGATCCCTCTCGGATCTCTAATCTGCTTTTTGGCCCTGATTCTGGTTTTATTTCCGGCCATCTCCTCAATGCTGTCCGCCCCTCTCGAGGCCCAACCCACGCAAACGCAAGCTCTTGCTTTGGTTTTTATTTGCACGGAAATGTATAATTTTTCCGAGTCAAATGTAAATACTTTTAGCGTATTTTTGTGGGTTTCATTGGGTAGCAGCGGGCCGGCCCGGGGGCGTGGCACATGCAAATGACACGCCTGATGCTGCGTAAATAATTTTAGCGCTCTCTCTTGGCATAAAATGCAAAATAAACATTTTATTTCAATGCTGCCTTGGATCGGCTTGGTCTGGCTTGAATTCCTCCTCCGAATGTGGGTCAAATGGTGGCCCAACAGCCAGAGAAAATAAATAAATAAGAAAGCGCCGCTTTTATCCCGAAACCAGATGCCGAAAATACAGTTTAATTGTAAGTGTATGGCTTGCGGTTCCGTCTGAGTTTCCTCGAAATGTCACGTTTCAACAGCTCAATTTTCGGTTTCGCGATACTCGATACGCGATACCCGAAGAAAACTTTCCGATCCAATTAAATTGGCGCAGCCCAGGATCTCGATTTGACAATTTATGCATCCTTGTGAGACGCCGGTCGCATATTTATTCCCGTCGACGGCTAGACAATGACGCCTGCGGCCCAATAAATAACGCTCCCTTCTGACACAATCGAAATTGGCTGGCAAACAAATTCATCCAGCGGAGATAAGGCCTGGTCCCCCATTTTTTATTCTGATGCCGGGCCGCGGCAAAGGTCAAACACTTAACCCGCATTGTGGCGCGCCAACAAGACCTGACATCAAATTATGGATTCGCAGGGAATCCTTTGGGATAATCTAAACGGATCTGAGGGCAAGTTCAGGGCTATCACAAATTCAAATTAAAGTTTGAAATGAGAATCTTTACGAACAAGCAGCCTTGCCCCGTAGTGTCAAAACAAGATCCAGGGGGAGAATATCAGTAAGAACTCAGAACTACACGGGTCAACATCTTTAACACAAACACTTCAATACCAACACAACAAAAAGTAAGATAAAAAGTCACTTACTAGTTAGATTTTTGGGAAGTTATCTCTCTAAAAACCTTTAATTAAAAACTACTTCACTATTCGAACCGAGTATGACCACAAAAAAGGTTACTTTCGATCCAATTAGTTTCATGTACTCGAATGGGGGCGATGCGGACGGCATGTCTAGGGACACCGCCTGCAGCAGGCCGAGCAAGCTAAGCAGTCACGCCCTGAGGCAGAGGCTGACCCGTCAGGAGGCCAACCCGAAGATCAACTTCTTCGAGAGGGACTTCCCGGACAGTTCCGAGTGCTCCTCGGACGACTTCGACTTCCCGGAGACCCTGGTCGAGCGGGTTCATCGACTGTACTTTACGCGCTTGCGGAAGCAGCACTACAATGAAGCCGCCAACCGGGCTCTAGCCAGGAAGTTGATTTGCGAGGAGTTCGGCAGCAAGCCGGCCAGCTCGCAGGAGAGCAAACACAACGAAGAGGGGCTGCCTGAACAGTCGATCTCCGAGTGTTCTGAGTGTCTTCCAAACACCCCATCATCAGAGGACTCATACCCTACCTTCCAGTACTTCCAAAGCCCAAGTGTGACAATGTCTGTAGACGATGCCATAGCGAAGGAGGAGCCGGAACCCGGATTCCACCCGTCGCATCGCTGCTTCAATAAGCTGACGGAACGGATAGTGGATCCTTCTAATACTGCTAACTCTAGTACTGTCACATATGCTGAGAATGTTCAAAAAATCTACTCGGGATCACTGACGCCCAATCGACCACTCGTTCGACCACTCGATCTACCAAGTGCCCACGTCACTAGCTCATTCTCAAGCCCCCGGGTGTATAATGACTGGATGTCCGTGGAGGCCGAGACGGAGCCCGGTTCCGAGAAGCATTCCCGCATCCTGGACAACGGCAAGCACTCGGAAGGCAAGCACTGGGAACACCTCAAAAAAAGGGAGAAAACTGGTCGCAGTATCATTGGTCACAGTGTATCTAAGGAGCAAATGTGGATCGACTGAAACTATGTAATATTTTTTGGAATAGCATTAAAATAAACTAAAAAGAATATAAAGAAACTAATCTGTTTGGTTCTATTCTTATTGTCCTTCCGTTATCCTACAAATGGTTTTCCCTATTCAAATGGTTTCAGCCACCTTTTCTGCAAATAGAAACTGTTTCTCCATTCCAATTTAGACACCCAATAACCATAATCACCTCTGATATCAAATGGCTCCATAAGAAGGATACTAAAGGCTTAGATGGCAAAAATAGTTTCCTCAACCCAAAACACCGCACAATTATTTCGGCCATTAAGGACCCAAGCCAACATACACATATGGAAGCCTGAATGCGAGACTGAGAGGTCTGTAAAAGGAAAACCAATGGAGCTAAAAGGATAATGGGACATTTTGAGTCGCCCTACAACAAAAAAACAAAGCATAAACTAGATTATAAGTAGGCTCTTTGAATAAACTTCAAAGTGAAAACGTTTGTTTCAAAACAAAGTGATACTATTATCTTAGAACTACACCGAACTACAACAAACAATATTTCCACAGTATAAAGGTCAACAGGTATTTTACTCATTTTACAAACAAAAAGACTATTTCAATTTTAAGAGAATACCTATACGAGGATGTCTTCCAAGAAGTTATCCTTTGACGAGATGAACCTGGGCATGCCCGTCCACTCGGACCCATACGAGCTGCACTTCCATCCAAGTAATATTGGAAAATCAACTGCTGATGAAGTAATAAGATCCGTTGCTGTGAACGATGAAGATCTGAAGAAGAAGCTCCGCAAGGAAGCGCTCCAGATTCTGCCCGACATCTTTGTGAAAAGCCCGGAAAGCTCGGACGAGTCTGATGACATCGATTTTCCAGAAACCGTGGAGGAGATGGCGCGCCGCCTCTCCTTCGCCCGGCGCCGGAAGCTGCACTACACGGAGTTCTCGACTGTGGGGCTGGCCAGACGCCTGATTCGCGAGGAGCTTGCCAATCTCACAGAGAGCGCGGAGAGCGAGGAAATAAGGTTCGAGGCTGAGGCGTGCGAGGAAGAGTGCCCGCCGTGCGAGGAGTCGGAGGGTCCGTTCCCAGTCATCCAGTATTTCCGCTCCACGCTTCTTTCGCATGTCTCGGATGATAGTATTGTCAAGGAGGAGCCGGAGCCAGGCTTCAATCCATCCCACCATTGCTTCGAGGCTTTGACCGGCGCAAACAAACTCGTTCAAGAAGCGGATGCCGGCGGCGATGCCGGTGTATCGACGCCCCGTAGTAGCCTTTCAATACCTACTACCATAGACACCCCTGCGGATCTGTTCCCAGCATTTGCTGTGATCCCGAGGGCTTCGCAGCCGGAGAGAGACAGTTCAATGAAGCACACCCGAGTCATGGAGGGCAACAAGACCTTCGACCTCGTCATGAGGCAGGTGCCAAAGAAGATTGATTCAAGGCGAGCGTCAAACGTCAAGTCCAGGAAGTCGAAGCTAAAGGACAACGTGCTAAGGTCATCTTCGAGAGTTAATTCTATTGCACAACCGTAGACTCTAAAATCTAGGTGATAGACGCCCTGTGGTAGCGCGGAAGCAAACAAAATAAAAATCATTTTCAAGGGTTAAGAACCCACGAATTATACTCAAGTGTTTGTTTTTGTGGATATATGGAACAAATTTAAAGAAAATTAAATTCGCAAGCCCCTAATGAATGTCAGTAGAACTCGGCTTTGCTTGACTTTTTCTAATTTAATGCTCCTCTTGGCCATGAAATGGAAATAAATATCAAGTCATATGATCTGCAGCGAAAATCCTCACTCGGCTAATGAGGACTTTGTTGTCTGAGCGGAATAATGCCATTCCCGAAATTGTCTAGACGTTCTCGGTTGCTTGAACCTCTCGTGTTTGGGTTTTTATGATGCAGTCCCAGCTGCCGGTTCAAGTTCCCAAGTTCAAAGTCAAAGTCAAAGCCAAGAGATTTGATTATAACATTTAATTGCGGTTGGCTCCACACGTGGAGCTTTGTTGAATTCATATTAAATTAAATTAATGAACGCAAGCAAGGATTTTGTTACCCAAAAATGATTCTTTCCAGTGCCAAGCCATGAATTACACAAAATATTTAAGGAGCACTTTGCAATTGTTTCAGGCATCTAATTTCCGTAATTTTGTGTGCTTTTTTGTGGGTGGAAGCGAAAGTGACTCGTCATGCCGACGAATCAAGTCGAGTGGTCTGCAAGTGCCTCGTCCTAATCATCATCCAAACATTGTGGCCAGTCATCGTGACTTATGTCAACCCGATCAAGTGTGTCCTTGCTGTGAGTGTGTAGCATGTGTTTGTTTGTCCGGCAAGGATACAAAGCGATTGTTCTCCAAACAAGGAATTCGGAATTGTTTCAAGTACGAGCCGGGCTGCGCCACACAATGGTCGAGCACAATTGAAATTTCGGACAGTGGGTGGGTGCTTCGCCAGTCGGTAATGAAGGGTGGAATGTTTGCCGGGGACTTGCATCGAAGTAAATTACAAAAGGGGTCTACATAGTGGAGCACATGAGATAGTCCAAGACTAGCAGTTCCTTGAAAACAATACAAATTATCGGTCGTTGTGCCCATTTTCCAATCAAAACTATTCCGTTTCTAGATCCGTCCAGGCCTGGTATTGATTGATCGATTGCCTATTTGTTGGCTAAAGGACACTTGTCCTTTTTGGCCAAGCCACTGGAACGCGTGAACCTGTCAAAACGAGGGTTATCGCTGAAATCTAGCTCGGGATAAGCGCCACACACCCATAAAATATTACTTAAAGCCGGCAGTCACGTGCCACGAGTGTTGACCCCAAAGGAAACCAAAAATCATAACTCAATGTCGGGCTAACCAAGTGCAAAAGCACGAAATTAGTTTACACTTGAACCCCGGTCATCTGACCTGGCACTCTCACCTGTCCCACGCCCACACCCTCCTCCCCCTTTTCGGATATATTTTCGCTGCAGTCGCAGTTGCAGTCGCAGTCTCAGTCGCAGTGGCATTCGTGTTCATGCATAAACAAAATGGCTGCTGCAACAACCGGAAACTGACAGCAAACGACATTTGCGATATGCATCATATGTCTGCTGGTGCCCCCTCTGCGCCTCGGCCGCTCCTGTCACTCTTAAGGATGCGGGGGCGGCGGTGGCGAGTCAGCTACTTGGCATATTTCTGTCGTGTCATTGTTCCTTGTGCGTCTTTTTTGCAGCTGCTCGTGATCCTCCTCCTCTTCGTATCGCCCCTGCCACATGCCACCCCGTGCAACGCCACTGTCTGCCACTGTTAGCCTTGCAGGTGCAATTATGACGGCGGCATCGCATCGCTGGCACGGGCCTTGGCTGGCGCGGGAGGCAAAAAGCAGGAGGCGATGGGGCATAGTACCAGCGCGCGTGTGTGAGTGAGTGTGGCAGTGTCAGCGACACATACACATTACATCATCAGGCAACTTTTTGCAACTGTCATAAAATGCCAGCAACAGCAAACAGAGAATGCCTCGTGGGTAAACGGCTGGGATACCCTTTTGGATAAATTCTGGAAAAATATTCCAGAATAGAATGTTGCAATTTAATGATATTTAAGCAATATAGTTTATAATATTTTTGATTTATTTACCTTAAAATAATTACTTGTCTGATAGAGTATTTTCTTGGCCATAAAAAAAAGAGTAGATATCCCAAACAAGCTTGAAACAAATGAATGTTGAATGAATAAAAAACAGAAGCTAGAAGAGCAGGACATACCATTTCGAACTTCAGCTAAGGGCACAGTAAGGACACACATACAGTATCATGACTAAAGATTAAAGTAAAGACTATTAAAAGTTTAATATTTTAAATTAACGGTAACTATATTTGATTTATGAGCTTAGTTTGAGTTACAATTTGGCAGGATGCTTTAAGAAAAAGTTTAAGGATCAACTACCAGATGCTTTGATATCGACCGCTCACTGTATCGCTGTTGATTCTTTTCGTGCCTCCACTGTTTCTGTAGCTGCATTTCCGGTAGCTGCTCCTTCTGCTAAGCCGGAGTGCTAAATCCTTAAGCCACCTTGCTCCACCCTGGCATAGCTGACTCCTCCGCCCACCTCTCGCCTTGTCATTTCTCTAATGAGCTGTGTGTGTGTGCGAGTGTGAGTGTGTTGCATTGTTGTTGACGTTTCAGCTGGCATATGATGCTTGTTAGTGAGTTTTTTCTCCCCACCGTTCAGTGCTGCTGTCCTGGCCGTTCTGTTGTTTGTTTCTTTCGTTTGCGGATGTGATCCTCCGGCCCGAGCTGAAATATTTTCATGAGTTTTGACATTAATGTGTCGCAATGTTTGTCACAGTGTCCTTTTTTTCCTCTCTGCTCCAGCCAGGCGTCATCTAGCGCCGGAATGTCGGCCCAGTCATATGCATAGTTGGAGTAAAGGATATAGTGGGAAGGTCTCGGTTTCTGTTTCGTTTTTAGCGTTTTAGATCTCATGATTGGTCCTTCACATTCTGATTATTGTTTAAAAATTTTACCTTTTAGGAAAGCGGGAACACTCCTCTAGCAGGATACTGAATTCAGGCCAAGAATCCAATGGGATAAGGGCCGTGATAGGGAGTGGGGATTGTTGGAGTCCCGTCGCCCGTCGCGAGTGTTTAAGCGTTGATTACACTTTCGTGTTTTGGCGTTGCTTGTCACTTGTCTCTTGTTCCTGTACAAGTTACTCGGCTGCATTGTTTTTCCGGCTGTTGTTGCTCTAGTTGCGGATAGTCGTAGTCGCAGTCGTAGAGCCACACAGTGTTGTTCATTTGCCACATCTGTCTGCATTTGCATGTTGTCTCTGCTCAACGAGACTGTTGACTTCGTTCTCTCCAGCCTCCACTTTTTTGTTTCATAGGATGTTGCTGCATGTGTGGGCCTACAGAAATTTCTATATGTGTAGTGCTTCTTTTTTATATAGAAAGTGGACAAAAAGTTAATTTCCCACCAATGCCAGGGTGCAGGGTATGTATATCTGATATAAATAATTGCATTTTGTTATGTGCCAAATTAAAATGAAATGCCGTCATCATTTTTGATGGCATGTCAAATGTTGGGGCATTAAGTTTTCAACCGAACCGAACTCCCCCGACTGGGGATGACTGACTGACTGACTGGTGGGCCACAAATCTTGCGTCAGCGTCTGGTGTTGATTGCCACAATGGGCATTCTGCAGCCTAGCCTATCCTGCCACACACCCAGCAATGGGCCATAAACACCCAGAAAGAGAACCAGAAAGAGAGAAACAGTCGTAACAAGCGATATTTCATGTACATGCCATATATCAATGTCACTTTACTTTGGCAAACAGTTTCAGTTAATACACAATCAATGTACCAATGTGTTATCAATAATAAATTGCTGGCGATTTATCAGTCAATGCAGCAAAAGCAACAACCTCAATGGCGAAAACAGGAGCCACAGGAAGAGTACCAGTTATAGTACCCGGCAACAAACAACGCTTGCTGGCCAAAGTCTTAACTTGGCCGAAGAGAAATGTTTCCCAAACTCCTTCCTATGCGAACACTGATACACCTTACACTAAGGATAATATAGTCCTCAAGTCAGCCAATTGCTAATAGTAGTTATTTTTTTTAAATTGTGTTTATTTTTCATTATTTTATATTTTGAACATCCGTCTTTATGCGATCATCGACTCCCTCAGAGACATTCTATTCTCCTAACGCCTGAAAGGGTAAACGTGGAATTCGGGAGGAAAACTTTTAAATCCGCCCTCCCCTTCCTCTTAACCGCTGGCCGCACACGAAAGTCAAACATAAATCGCTCCCGCCCACCCCATCTCCAGACCAGGGACGGCTCTTCGTCCTTTTCACTTTTTGTGAAAATTATAGCTTTGCGTGCAGCTCCAGAGAAACAAATTTTAGCCTTGAAATCTTTTAGAATAGTAGTCTATCAGTTGGCAAAGATCGCATTATAATCTCTCCAAAATTATAAATCAGATTGTTATCCTTATTCTGCTCTATATTTATTTTCTCCCAGTGCACTTGTGTGTTTCTTTCGGTGTGTGCGTTTTGTGCAAGTTATGCGCAGCATGCAGAACTATGCACGTGCTCGGTTGAAGTGTATAAATGTGCTAGTGGCGAATGGGTCCTGGGTCCTTGCCGGGCGGTGGGAAATCCCCTGGCACGCCCCCATTTCCATACCGCCCGCTGCATCCCTAGACTGCCGCCACGGACCTTCGACAATGCGAGTCATGCGGTGGACTCATATCGGATGACAATTAGGCCCTGGTCATCAATTCCAAGTGCACAAGCGATAAATCTTTGGTAATTTGTATCTGTGTGTGCGGTGCTCCATCTCTCGTTCTCTTTTTCTCCGGAGAAGTGGCCGGGCGTATCCTGGCAGGTTAAGTGCCAGTCCTCAGACTAATGTGGCTAACCAAAATTGAAAATTTTTATACATGCACTGTAAGTGATTAAAATTAAGCTACAAGTTACAAAACTCCCATCATCAGTTTCCATTCCGGCACTCCAAGTTGCAAAAATTCTGTGCATTTGGCAATGTCCTGGAAGCTTTATCTATCTATTTACACAC